GGGACATTATCCATAACAATTGACAAGATCAGGGTCATTTCCTTGTTCAATAATTAATTTAGAACGACTTAAAGATTCTGCACCTAAACCCTCAAGACTATTAGAGCTTAATGAGGTACTGTCTTGTAAAAAAGGAAATGAAATTAAATGAAATGGGGTTTAACGTCCTACTGTTCTGCTCCTAACATGGGCTAATGAAGACGGGCATACACCATACAGTGTGCTATGAGGGAAATTTTGCCCGGGTAGCGGCGCTACGGCCTACTCTTATATCGAATTCCAACTGCCAAGGGATCTTTTACGTGCACGCCAATGTGTACACGGGACCTCGGTTTTTCGTCCCATCCGAACGACTAGACAGCTGTCCTTGTCAGGCCCTCCGCCCTGCATCACTGACAAGGGGAAACCACGCCGGATAATCTGGATGAACTTTCTCGGCCATTGCAGGGATCGAACACCCGACCTCCAGGCTAGCGAGCCAGCGTCTTACCCACTTAGCCACGTGATCCCTCTTGTAAAATAGGAAGTTGGTCCTTATCAATTGAAGCATCAAACTGAATATCAGGAATATTCGCCATAAAAGTGTCATCCAACACATAAGATTCTTCATTAATAGACATGTCCTCATTAAGAAACTTCTTTTCGACATCTTACTCACAGCCTTAGTAAACTGCACAAGCAGGGTAAGTAAATAAATCAGAATCCTAATTATCGTGAACATGCTTTTCAAAAGAAGGATTGGCCCTGCTTGATTTGTTAATACCGGCGCATACCGGCGGACCACAGTTCGGCAGTTTTTGCGCGAGGTCACTTGATTTCACCGGAAGTCGACAAAAGTTCGGCTGCGGCTTACGCCGAATGCGCCGCTTTGGCGGCAGCGGCGAACACCGGCGCAAGATGGTGAACATGTCAACGAGATAAAATGCCATGAAACACTAATTTTAAAGCGTTAAAATTAAACCAAATGTTTTGAAGTTGAATTTGAGCTTCGTAAGACCAAAAGTTCATATGTCATTTATTTTTTCTCAGTAATATTAGTACTAATGTTTTTCTGCATATTTTGCGGGCACTTTCAAGTCATACTTTCAAGAATACTTTTTTTGATTAAAACATGTCATGTAACCGGTTTAATATTATAACATTATCCGACGCCATATTGTTTATCAGCCGATACGGTAACCTGACCGGCGTACGCCGTTTAGAAACCGGCCCACCTATCGGCGGACAAATCAAGCAGGCCCATTATTTGATAGAATCGGGTTAACAATAACTTTATCACCAACTAAGCCATTCCTAATAATAAATCTATACCGTCAACAGGAAGAGCAGGTCGAATATCCGCAGTAACACGCCCAGAAACTAAATCTGACTTAAGTTAATATCATGAAGAGGTACACTAACAAAGCCTAAATCAACACCCTGTATAAGAACATTAGCATCTACAGAAGACTTTGATGAAAAGGGTAAAACTTTTTCTAACATCAAACTTTGTGAAGCCCCTGTATCACGTATTATCTTAAGAGTTTTTAAATTGGCATCGTCACCTACAAGTGACACTAATCCTTCAGAAACAAATGGCTTAAACTCCTCAATAATAAGTTCAGACTCAGCATTATCAACAACCTTTTCAGGGAAGTTTAATGTAATTGGCGTTTTAGGGCTTTTTAATGAAACACAAGCACTGGATTTTAAACTAATATTTGTACTTTCTTTCCTTTGAAGAATCTAGCACACTAAAATAATAATCCCATTTTTGTCACAATAAGAACATACAGGTATTTTATGTTAGTTAGTTGTTAGTTGTGTTTTACGTCCGCTCACAATAAGAACATACAGGTATTTTATGATGATCCACCCCTTTATATGCCTCTGGCTTAGACCTAACCGTGCTATCACTATTTGACTTGGCCTTATCATAAGTTTGAGGATTAAAGGGTGATCTACTCTGTATTACTTTATTTGGGGTATAATGAGAGGTAGCGGCATGGGGAGATTTCTCTGGCCTTTGGCTACTTTTAGTAGAAATTAAATCATATGTGAGTGAATAGTCATCAGCCATTGTAGCTTACTTTATGTTCGCCTAAAAATGTTATATCAACATGTATACAATGTTTAAATTCTTCTAGTAACATAAGTTGTCTAAAATTATTAAAGTTTCCAATAATTTCTTTAATCAAGTTTCTTAATTTCTGTCTATATGCCCCTGGGACTAAAGCATACGCATTAAGAAAATTGTTCAAGGGACATAGCTGAAAATATTTCTCTAGCTTTACCCAATAATACACTTTGTAATAATAGTGTCCAATTTTCTTTTGGCCATTTTAAACTAGCAGCTATCTTTTCAAAACGTAAAAAATACTGATCCATTTCCTTTTCTTGAAATTTAGGGACTAATCTGATATGTTTTGCTGCATCAAAATGATTTAAGAATGCCTGCTGTGTGGAGTGTGACTGATTTGCCAATTCAATTTCTTTTATCTTAATTTAATTTTGAATTTCTAATTCTCTAATATGTACTTCTTGCCTTTGTTACTCAAAGAAAAAATAATTAGTAAAATAGGTCAATAAATAACAATGTTACGACTATGCATTGTTCGTTTTTTCGTTCGTAAAATTCGGTAATTTCGAATTCTTAAAACGTTTCGAAAATATATTTAAACAATACTTACCACCCATTTTTGTGGGGGTAGGTCAAAATTTCAGAAACATCCTATGGTTAGATTCTGATAAATCCGATTTGCAGAAAACACACACAAAAAAAAAAAAAAATAATAATAATAACAGAAACAATAAGCTTTCATATGAAATATGAAAGCTTAATAATCTTAACAGAAACAATAAGCTTTCATATGAATTATGAACGCTTAAAAATAATCTTAACAGAAACAATAAGCTTTCACAGAAACAATAAGCTTTCATATGAATTGTGAACGCTTAATAATAAACTTTCATATGAAATAATCTTAACAGAAACAATAAGCTTTCATATGAAATATGAAAGCTTATTGTTTCTGTTAAGATTATTATTAAGCGTTCACAATTCATATGAAAGTTTATTGTTTCTATGAAAGCTTATTGTTTCTGTTAAGATTATTATTAGGCCGTAGCTTATTGTTTCTGTTAAGATTATTATTAAGCGTTCACAATTCATATGAAAGTTTATTGTTTCTGTGAAAGCTTATTGTTTCTGTTAAGATTATTATTAGGCCGTAGTATGTTCAATGCGTCTCCTATTTCTGAAATTAATACATTTCAGGAAAGTTGTTTAGGAGTGAAAAATTCCCATTAACGGCTTGAAAATAATCGAATCGGTCGACGTTTCGCGAATTCGTCTCCTATTTCCGAAATTAATACATTTCTGGTTAGCTTCCTTCCAAGAATAGGTGGTGGCACTGGAATTAATATATTTTCAAAACGTTTTACGAATCCGAAATCACCGAAATTTACTATTGAAAAAATTGCCTTACACAGCTGTAACTTTGTGATCTATTTTACTAATTATTTTTTCTTTGAGTACCCTAAAACATTTACTTTAAATCTGCTATTTCCGATTTTCGAAATTCGAATATTAATCATTGACAGCTCATCCCGGAAGTAAATCCAACATGATAACTTCTTGAATATTAGTACGATTTTCATAAAATTATGAATGTAAGTAGACCTGTCTTTAATTTTCAAAATTTACAAATTTAACCTAAATATTCCAACAGCTGATTTCAATCTGATTCAAAAAATATTTGTTCCGTTCAAAGTTATCTCATTTATTTTTTCCATATTTTCCTGCCCTTTTTTCTTAGTTCTCTCCCGCCGATTACAGCAATCCAAGTCTCAGTTATTTCCCTTTAGTTGCCCGGGTGCAGTGTTTCTCATTATGTTTAGACTTGTAACTTTGCGAGTTTTTCACCGATTTTGATAATTATTTTTTCTTGTTCTTTTCTCTTTTAAGATACTTAATATAATCCATGTCAAGTGACGATGAATATGAAAGCTTTCATATCTGCATGGGACAGTAGCAGATCTAGTTATTATTATTATTTTTTTTTTTTTGTGTGTTTTCTGCCAATCGGATTTCTCAGACTCTAACCATAGGATCTTCCTGAAACTTTGACCTACCCCCCCCCCCTTCTAAAAAAATTAAAGGGGTGCGGCTGTCGATTAAATATATTTTCAAAACGTTTAAGGAATCCGAAATCATCGAATTTTACGAACGAAGAAATTGACCTACATACCCATAAGTCGGTGGCTATGTGACCTATGTTACTAATTTTTTTCTTTGAGTACCTTGAAATATTTACTTCAATTTGCTATTTTCGATTTTCGAATTTCGAAAATTACGTCAATGACATTTCGTCCCGGAAGTACGATTTTCATGAAATTTGGAATGTATGTAGATCTCATTGACCCAACCTCAACGATACCATTAGATATGTCCTAACTTATCTCCCCTTGGAGAAATTAAGGATCAAATTTTAAAATAAAATCGACTAAATATAGGTCAGATTGCCTTGAATTTTTTTGTCTGTACTAGATGAGGAATTCCTGATGCGTACACAAAATGTGAAGTCTATCGATACAACCGCAAGTGCGATATTATACTTACAGACATGGGAGTTGTTTAGGAGTGAAAAATGTACATTAGCTGCTTGAAAATAATCGAAATCGGCCGGCGTTTCATGAATGAATTCGTTTCCTATTTCCGAAATTAATACATTTCTGGTTAGCCTCCTTCCAAGAATGGGTGGTGGCCTTGGAATCAATATATTTTCAAAACGTTTTACGCATTTACTGATGAAATTGACTTACACAGCTGTAACTTTGTGATCTATTTTACTAATTCTTTTTTCTTTGAGTACCTTAAAACATTTACTTTAAATCTGCTATTTCCGATTTTCGAAATTCGAATATTACGTCATTGACAACTCATCCCGGAAGTGAAATCAACATGATAACTTCTTGAATATTAGTACGATTTTCATAAAATTAAGAATGTAAGTAGAACTGGTTGGTCCATAGAACTAGAATACTAACGGGAACGCCCACTCGGTGACGTATAACGGTGATGACATAATTATGTTGTACATCGCATGCGCGAAGTCAATAAGGCACAAGTAACTTCCGGCCGTATGTCAACATGGCAGAAGCGTACGACGTCCTGGAATTTCAAGAACTTGACGGTGTAATAGATGTAAGTTATTCATAATTTTAATGAGTTTTTTTTAAATTAGTTATATAACATACCATCGGGAGTATAAACCATTTATTTTCGGACATTAAATTATCCGAACACACGTTTGTGTATCATTTTCTACTACATATTATAAAATTATTATTAATAAATTATGATGACATTCACATTTTATTTTTTTTATTTATTGTTTTGTGTATATTGTTGTTAGCCTTTGGCACGTCCGTGCCAGTTTTGGCTGGTTTCCCAGTGCCCTTTTCTTGTTTATAACAAGGGGTTTTACATAGGCTAAGCCTGTTCCCCAATCCCATTCAGACATCCTGAATAAAAATATTGTTTATAAAAAAAAAAATGTGTATTCTTTACTACAGCTTTTCTTTGCTAAAGATTTGTTTGAGACATCTCAACCTGTCGTTCCAGTAGCATCCGTAAGTTTTCTACATATACAACATACATACATATAGTCACATTGTGTTCGTAGCAAATGGGCAAGTTATGAAACTCATTACAGTCTCAACCATGTCTATATATTTTTTTTCTTCTCAAACGATCAAATTGCTTTGGAAATGAAATGAAATGGGGTTTAACGTCCTACTGTTCTGCTCCTATGCTGGGCTAATGAAGACGGGCATACGCCATAAGGTGTGATTTAAGGGAAATTTTGCCCGGGCAGCGGCACTATCACCTATTCTTATATCGAATTCCAACTGCCAAGGGATCTTTTACGTGCATTCCAATGTATACAGGTGACCTCGGGTTTTCGTATCATCCGAAGGATTAGACAGCTGTCCTTGTCAGGCCCTCCGTACTGCATCACTGACAAGGGGGAACCACGCCGGAAAATCTGGATGAACTTTCTCGGCCAATGCAGGGATCGAACACCCGACCTCCAGGCTAGCGTCTTACCCACTTAGCCACGTGATCCCAAATTGCTTTGGAACAGTTTCTTTTATTTTGTATAATATTTACTTTAAAGGGACAATAACACTCTTGCTGGCTTGAAAGCTCCAGAAAATAAATAATATCTCTATCTAAGTACTAGATGTTTAAGTGTCCCACCTGTTGTGTAAATTATCCATTACATCCTATTTTACTTGTCCAGAGGGTTCGAAAATATTTTTAAATCGAAGTTTCATTTGAAAAGGTTTACGTTAGACGTTTCAAACCATTATGTTGAATTTTTTAAATAAGGTGTGTTAAGATGAAATTTGTATCATCAATTAATTGAAATATTCTAAAATAGTTAAATTTGTTGACCAGAATAAAGATTGGGACATATTATTCAGTTACAACAAGAGTGGTATTGAGCCTTTAAAGAACTGTATTAATTTGGTATCAAGCTCGTTATTAGATAAAATTGTGAGGGAAATTATAACCTCCAACCCTGTCTTTGGTTGTGTACAGATTTACACTGGTAATTTTAATTCATAGCTATTGATTTTGTTTGGTTTTTATTTACGTGGTTTTCATTGTTATTTATTTTCTTTTTAAGATTCAAACTAATCCAGTTAAATTTAATGGGAAAGTTCAAGTAGTGGTTATATGAAAAATGATCTGATGTTCACATGATCTCAAGGGTTTGCCGAACCTCAATCGAGTTTAACCCCAACAAGGAATATTATACATCAAAACTGTTCATCTGCCTGTGCATTTTCTAGTATAAGTTTATCATCATTTGGAACAAATGGTTAAATTACTATTCAAGATAACTAATTTAAAAAACAAGAACAACAATATGTGGTTGGAATGATCCAAGGCTCTGTTCAAAGATATTTTATTCACATGACAGTGATGCTTGTTAAATAAAACTTGTGAATTTAACAGATAATGACCATTGATAAACACTAAAGGCAAATAGAAATGCACAAAAAAATCCATAAGCTTATGATAATAATGATTAAACATACATTATGCAAGAGCTAAATCTGCCTATTGCAGGTTTTCTTTAGGCCTGAAATGTTTTCTAAATTATTAATTAGACACTAATTAACTTATCCAGGCCCTAATCAACTCTCGATGGCATCAGATTTCTCCAATATTAAATAGATTAGAACAGTTCAGCCATATTTTGATTTAAGCTAAAAATGGAGGAGTGAGACTATTTCGAACAACCAGTACGATGGTTGAAATTATTGCACATGTCTTGTCAAACCTTCAAAGGCCTTCAAAGGCTAATATCTTCGCTCGCAATAGAGTAATTTGAATGAAATTTTCAAATTAGTCATTTTACATTTTTTATCTTCGAACTATTATAGCAAGAATGGCTAGCTCTTTATCAAAATCTTACATAATGTATATTTAAGAATAATTTAATACATTTATAAAGCTCACACATTACAAGTTGTGCACCTGTATAAAATTTGTATAAATTTTGTTATCATTGTTAATATTTTATACTGAGATGCAATAAAAATAATACATCACTTTTATAAATGGATGAATGTAAATCTTGTTTGAAATGAATCCAGGTTTAACGCCCTACTTAGTACTTTTCAGCTCAATTTTGTTTTAAAGATTTGCTTTAATCTTGCAATTAAGGATGTAACAACATCATATTACGATGATAACATGTGAGAATGTTTTGAAGATTGCGTAAACGCACCCCGAACAATTCTTAATCCAAAAAATTAAACCCAACAGAATCAGTATGTTGATTTTTCTGGTACACACGTGGGGTATATAATGCAGCTTTTAAAAAGCTAGGTTTTGTGCAACTGTGGAAGGTGCAAAGTTATGCCACGTCATCTCAGAGGTGCTATTTCATTGCGTCTCGATATATTTTGTTTACTATTATCAACCTGGCCCCAAGTTCACAAAGCATTCCCAGACTTAAGAATTTGCTCAACTTTCAATCACTGTTTCTCAGAAATATCTTTGATCCAGAAACACAAAACTGTGCACATAGTTTCTTATTGATATATTTACATTAAAACAACAATAGTTAGTAAAGTGCTATATTTGAGTTAAAATAAGACAACAATTTTGAGTAAAACCTTAACTTAAGACTGAGAATGCTTTGTGAACTTGGGGCCTTGTTTTCTTTTCATTACTTATTAACTACAATACAGTAATAACAAGAAATAAAAAATCTGTAGAACACTGCTGATTAAGTTGTAGATTTAATCCTAGATTCAATCACATTTATATTTTTATACTTCCAATATTGATATTAATTCCAATAGAGCCAGGAAATGTTTAGTTTAATTATACACTTTCTATTTTGTTGTATGAAATTATCTGTATAATCTGTGTTTTTGTTACTTTCATTGTGTGAAATGCTTGCAGCAAAGTGCTGTAAATAAAATACCTGACATCACTGATCACAGTTTAACTCTATAACTTCTCATTTGACCTCAAATCTATGTGGAGTCGAGTCAGTTGGAAGAAATAAATCAAAATGGAGTGAAATCTACATTTTAATCAAATTCGTACCACATGATTATATTCTATCACTTTTTGCTCGTTTATATGGCAACTATATATTATTGCTAAGCTATTTTTGAATTGTAAATTACATTTACAAGTATGTAAATATTGATTCTTTGAATTATATATTGTCAATCAAAATCTGAATATGCAATGTGCTATGTAGCCATATATGTGAAATAAACTATTATTATTGCTATTTACTTTCTCTGTAAATCTCTGTTAATCTGTCGACAACTTAAACAAATTTCTTTTTGAGTGTCCTCAACAAAACTATTACATACAGAAGCAAGTACACAGCTTTCGTAATTTATATGTTGACTTATTTGTGTTCATGAAAAGATCAATCTGTCTGATATATCTTACAGTTGTAGGCTGACATTGAGAATAAGACTGTAAATGTTTTGATGTTATGCCCCCACATATCTTCATATTCTCAACAGTTCTTATAAGTAAATCTATAGATGTAACTTTAATTTGAACAGGAAACAAAAATTATTATATTGTACTTCACAATTCAAGTCCTTGTCAATGGTTAAATGGTATGTTACACTTTTATCTTCAGTTTTAAACAGATAGATATAATCACTTGAAGACTGACATAGCCACAAAGCAGACATTTGACATAAAAATGATTTCTGCAACATCTGAAAGGTTACTTCGTTCATATGTAAACATTGAGTTTCCTCGGTTTTCCTTGGACTCTGAATAAAATAGACAAATTCATAAAATTCAATTAAAACAAGAAGAATTGGATTCTCATACATGTATTCATAATTTTCTCGGTTTCTGAATAAAATCGAAAAAATTACAAAAGTAAATATAAAGAAGAATCGGATATTCATACAAGTATTTATAAATAAAATTATGGGAGATTACAGAAAGAGCTAGCAGTTCTCATTATAATAGTTAAAAAATAGATAATGTAAAGGGAATTTGCTGAAAATTTCAGTTAAATTCATCCACCCTGAACCAAGTATTTAATGATTAAATTTTGGGCCTAGCCTCGATCATCATTACTATAGTCGGTACGATAAAAAAAAAAACATGGTCTCGATTAACCATTTTTTGATTTAATCAGAAGTAGCAGACTGGGCTCTAATTCAGTATATATCACAATCTAGCGATGCCATCGAGCGTTGATTATGGTCTGGATAAGTTAATTAATGTCTAATTAATAATTTAGATAACATTCCAGGCCTAAAGAAAGACCTGCAATTGACAGATGTAGCTCTTGCATAATGTCTGTTTAATATTGATGAATTAAATGTTCATATACTGATCTTTTCTAAGGAAACATCGAATGTTCATATTCATAATTAAGTTAACAGAAATTTAAGTTACCGGTGACTTCCTTGGATTCAATTTCTTTGTTGTTACGCTTTTCTGTAGAAGAATTAAGGTTGATAGTCTCCCTAACCCTTCTTTTAATCTTCGATATGTGGACCCAGAATTTTTGTAAACATCTGAAATATTCATAAAATCAAAATAAAAAGGTTCCTACATACAAAACAAAAGGTTCAGATATAATTAATTTTTTTTCCATGCTTGTTGATTATTCATACCGGGAACAAGATTATTTCGGAATTTAAAAGTAAAAGGATTTGACAGGTCAAGGTCAGTCATAAATAAATATACAATTTTATTTTTTATGGAGCTGCTCAGTTAAAACTTTGACCTTTAAAAAAAAATAATAATTAGTAATTCATAAAATTAAAGTAAAAGAAGATTGTTGAGAGAGAATCGTCATGCTGTCACACACTCATCGGGTGTAGTATTCGTCAATTTCATAACAAATTGCAAGTAGACTAATGTAAACAAACCTATATGCATACAACTTTGATGAGAGAAAGGGTAAAATCTAACGGGCAAACATGAAAATACAGACATTCAGCTAGTATGGGTTTAACTTAACTTCATTGTAGGTTGTCAGGGTGGACTGCCAACTAGAATCTACATAATTAATTTCTTTTGAGTTTTCACTTACTTTTTCAACGAAATAATCCGGCTCAACGTGTCTTGAACATATTGTCAAGGTCTTGTCATTTATCGGGTCTGATGTGGTAGACTGTATGATACGTAATGATTCTCTCTCCACTCTATGTTGTTTTTGGGTAAGCGATAGAATGATCAACCCCGGTTTCTTTTATTGCAGGCGGAACATCCGAACAAAACACAATTCGCGCCAGGCATTTTGTTAGTGCGAGCAGAAACCGGAAGTAAGCTGTGCCCGATATCAGCGTCAGAGGCCCGCCGTCACATAAGGTAGTGACGTCACACGGTGGGCGTTCCCGGTAGTATTCTAGTTCTATGGTTGGTCCAACTTCAACGAAGTCATTAGACATTTTCTGAGTTATCTCCCCTTTGAGAAAATAAGGATCAAATTTTTCAATAAAATCGACAAAATATAGGTCCGATTGCCCTGGAAATTTTTTTCCATACTAGATAAGAAATTACTGATGCGTAAACAAAATATGAAGTGCCACCATCTTGAAACGTGAAAAATCCCCGAGGCTTTCGCGATATTATACTTACAGACATGTGAGTTACATTTTCTGAATTTTGATTTCGTCAACTGATGGTCTCCATTTGGAATTGAATATGAAGAACAGTGAAAAATCCACTTGAACGGACGTGAAAATAAACACAATAGGCCGTAATATGTTCAATGCGTCTCTTATTTCTGAAATTAATACATTTCAGGATAACTCGGGATCAAAGTCGAATTTTTGGTGTTTGAAAATTTCAAAATTTCGAATTTCGCCTTTGACCTTTTACGTGCCAACAATGTTGTTTGCAGGACAATTTAACCTTAATATTCGAAAAGCTGAGGTCAATCTGATTCAAAAAATATTAGTTCCGTTCAAAGTTATCTCATTTATTTTTTCGATATTTTCCTGCCCTTTGTTTTAGTTCTTTCCCGCCATTTTCATTTCATTTTCTCATCCGTCTCGTTTTTAAACGGTTTGGTCACTTTTTCTGAAACTTCTGGAACGGGAAGTCATTCCGATTACAGCAATCCAAGTCTCAGTTATTTCCCTTTAGTTTTCAGATTATTTTTTTGCCCGGGTGCAATGTTTCTCACTATGTTTAGCCTTCACCGATTTTGATAATTATTTTTTCTAGTTCTTCTTTCGTTTAAGATACTTGATATAATCCATGTCACGTGACGATGAATATGAAAGCTTTCATATCTGCATGGGACAGTAGCAGATCTAGTTCTAGTTATTTTAACTGATGTTGAAATTCAAACCCTTTGTGTATTATAAATTTCGTTTACTTAAGAAATTTAACTAATATAATAAATATATACGGATTATCCCGGACTGAAGCCCCCAATTTCTGTTACGTCACTTAAAACAAGGCCAGAAATAACCTATTTATGAAATACGCCCAATCAGCAGAAATTATAAAAAAAAAACGTCAATGAACAATTAATAATATGATTTATTACAGTGTAACAGCGTACAACAATCACAAACGTGGTAATGCAAGAGAATCATACAAAAACATACATAACGTACTTGTAATTAAATATTAGACAGTATTATTAATTATATATTAAAGAATCAGTTCATAACACAAATGTTCCTTTAACACACATTTCGATGTCACGTGGGTCAAACTATTCTGGAAACTGCAATGATACAGGAAACTGCAATGATACTGGAATCTTCTACTCTATCGCGAATTACTTACTATATTCCTGATACAAATGACCTACGATAATGTAGGACGCCTTACCGAACATTCACAAGGTATACAGTAATGCAAGAACTTCTATATAACTATGAAATGAAAGAATTAACGCACGAAACTTCGGAACAAAATGTTACCATGCCGCTGGTGCCATACCTCTGCCGAAACCCCAGAATCACGTGGGTACGAGCGCGCGCTCGTCTTGATTAACAAATCTCTAAATTCTGTAACAATGCTAGCAGACGAATCACGACACGACTTTAGTAACAACAATGAACTGATTATTTATTATGATCATAGAGAAAATAATTATGTACTACATGACACAACCTTCCCCTTAGACCCACTTTAAATCCAGTTTAACAATTTCAACATACCTAGCTAGTCATATTACCTCGTTTATAAACCTGTACATCAAAACTTATTAATGCATATATTTTATTATTATTCAGTTGAATTTTAAACATCTATCTTATTTAATTTTAATCTTGTATTATCTACCAACATTAATATGGTCTGTTAAAACAAACTTACATGTTGAATTTTCAGAAAAAAATGAGTTTACCCATTTGATGAAGATTTCCACCAAATCTGTCCACCAGATAGATTTCTTTTGATTGCTGTTTTCTTCTAAATTTCTTCCACAAGTTTTAGAATCTGTGTTACGGCTCCAAAACAAATATGTAGCACTATGCAGTACTATGAGTCGCTGGTTAAATGTGGAAAGGCACCCCGACAACCCCCCCCCCCCGCCCCCGCCATCCAACGTGTGACGCATACTCTATTCTTTGCTACATATTATCAGGGTCGATATCCTGGTCACTTCACGAAAAAGGTTTGCTGTCACACTACGGTGTCGTTAAATTATGAGTCATGTATTGAGCCCCAGGAAATTGACCAGGTACTTCCTTTACCGGATTGGTCAGCTGCACAGACGCTACCCTGGATTTCAACATAGGTGTACTTATATGGGCACCCAGGAGGGCGGCTAACCACGTTTCTAAGTCACGGGGTTGCCATATTTGGATTAGCAGACTATGATGTCATTGTCTGATTTTAATCTACCAGACATATCCTTGTTTTCGCTGTCACTGGTACTAGCTAACCAGAGCATCTTTTACAGAACTTAGGCAACCTCTACAATATATAGATCATATAGCATTACAGGTAAAGGGTTACACTAGGACATACATGAATATAGTGTAATACTAGGTTGGCCATGGATCACAATAGGTCCCGCTAAGACTTGTGGGGCACTGTAGGTGGATATGTGACAGGCTAGGACACTTATAAAAATTGTGGGCCACTCTAGGTTTTATTTAGACGAAAATTTCTCCCATTTACACCATTCAGCACTGCATTTTCTTTAAGAATTGGTTATAAAACATCCCAATGCAGGTTGCAAGCAGTCTTCGTTTAATTTCTTTTAGTTTTGGTGTTCAGTCTTCAACCGACCGTCGATATGCCACGTTTTAAAGTAAGAAAGAAAATGAGAGGAACGTCGGAGCAGCTTATTCATTCAGCAAATAAGTTTCAGTCTCCTCTTGGTAAAAGACCATGCCCTATATGCAGAAAAACTGTTTAAGGGATCATTAGTGGACTGGGACACAATAGCGAATCAATGGTGACATAAAAAGCAATCATCGGAAGACTGGTCCACACTGGCGATCGGTGGTGGACTGGGTCACATACCATCATTGGTGGACAGTGACACAGAGATCAGCAATGGTGGATTGGGCCACATTCCATCAGTGGTGGACTGGGTCACACACCATCAGTAGTGGACTAGGACACAACCCATTAGTGGTAGACTGGAAAGCACAGACCTTCGGTAGTGGACTGTCCCTCAGACCATCAGTGGCGGAATATGACACACCGGATCACACAGATCATCAATGGTGGTCTGTAACACACAGACCATGATTGGTGAACCCGACACAGAGACCATCATTTGTGGATTGGGCGACATAGAGCATCAATGGTGGACTGAGACACAATAGGGAATCAATGGTAGACTGTGACATAATAAGCAATCATCAAAAGACTGGTCCACACAGGCGATCAGTGGTAGACTGGGCCACATATCATCAATGTTGGACAGTGAAACACAGATCAGCAATGGTGGATTGGGCCACATTCCATCAGTGATGGACTGGGTCACATACCACCCGTAGTGGACTGGGACACACACCACCAGTGGTAGACTGGAAAGCACAGACCTTGGGTAGAGGACTGGGCCAAAGACCATCACTGGTGGAATATGACACACCGGATCATCAGTGGTGGACTTGACCACACAGATCATCAGTGGTGGACTGTGAAACACATACCATCAGTGGTGGACTGTGACACACAGACCATCAGTGGTGGACTGTGACACACAGACCATCAGTGGTGAAATTTGACATAATAGACAAACAAAGGTGGACTGGTCTACACAGACCACTAGTGGCGGATTGGGTCACACAGACCATCAGTGGTGGACTGGCCCACATACCCACAGTGGTGGAATGGACCACAGACCATCAGTGGTCGACTGGCACACATAGATCATCAGTGGTTCACTGGGAAAACAGGCCTTCAGTGGTGGGCTGCAATTGCCGAGAAAGTTCACCAGGATGTCAATGGTGTAGAACAGAGGGTATGGCAAGGGATGAAAGTCGAGGTGCGTATAATTTAAGGCCAAAGCTGATTTTGAATGTTGATGAATACGGCTGAATATTGCGTTGTTAATTCAGAGTAGGGAGAGTAGGGTAACCTTAAAAGTCCATATTTCCACAACTGAGCCTCTTATCAACGAAAAAACGGTCATGTATGTCTGTTTTGACTGCTCTCCAAATAGCAGGCGGTGTACTTCGCCAGAGTCATAAGGACTTTATCTAGTTAAATTTTAAGGCTAATATCTGAAACTTTCAAATGAAACTAGTAGTAATCTACTCACCTAAGTGAAATCTTAAGCAGCACAAACAAACAGAAATATGTGGATGCTTGCTACGAAAACATTCATACACCAGACCATCTAAAGACTATGTACAGTGAATCACGTTCTGATCTTAATAATCAAGAGTGTGCAGCATTCAGAGAATTATTAATTAAGTATAAAAATGCTTTTTTAAAGATTCCAATGACATGGACCTAACTAGTCTAACAGAGCATAAAATTAACACTGGGTGTTCCAACCCAATTCGACAACATCCCAGAAGAATACCATTGTCCAATGTAAAAGAAGTTGAGCAAGAGATTCAAAGTATGGCTGATAAAGGAGTCGTCGAACCTGAAGATGGCCCATGGTGCTCACCGGTTGTACGGAAAAGGGACAATAGTTTAGGGTTCTGTATAGATTACAGGAGATTGAATGATGCAACAATCGGTTAGGTACAATTTGTTTTATTTACCATAGCATTGTTAAAAAAAAATTCCAAATATGTTTTGAGTCTTTTTTTCTTTGGAATGGCAGTTAGACTTAGAACTTGTTATTAAATTAATACTAAGAGCAGTTTCAACTATTCACATACAGTTAGAACCGAGATTGAATCTGCACAGCATTTGGTTACAAGGAATATGCATTTATCAAGGAATTTATTGCTTATAATATGGGCGTGCTTTTTTTTGGTGAGAATCAACTTGAATCCAACAATTCAAGTTATGCGCTTAGTAAACTAATATTTAAAAACAAAACATATCATATATACATTATTTAGATTTAAAATGAC